CTGCCGACACGCAAATTGCGCGGGAGGGGAACAGTTATTTTCAAGTCCAGTGCTCATGCGGCCTTGGCCCCACATCGCGGCCTGCTCTAATTTCGAGATGATTACGTAGGACGTTGAATTACGAAGGGGGGGGGAATGTGCTGCCTACATAGTCAGGGTAGACCACAATCTGAGCGCATCTTCGTTGAGTTGCTGTTCGTTTGATCCCACGAACGAGGGGTCTGAACCAGAACTCGGTTCTCGAACGAGCCGTGGCCCGCAGGTTGGCAATCAGTACGACGGGCTGCCTTGGCTCGTGCATTCATATTCGTTACGTAAAAGTTTTATATTTGCTTCGCTCTTTATCGAGTCGTCACTCGTCCAGTTATCAGCATCGCCTTCGAATCTTCACGTAAGCGGGAGATATTTTCCAAGCGAGTCGTGACGTTGCAGGCTCAACTGCAATTTGCATTACAGTATCTCGGGTTTAAGGTCCACTCTAGGTTTTATCAGTTGTTGGAGATAAGCCGAGATCTTCGAAGACGTGACGTACAAACGACCCGGAATTTCGCATTATGTAACCGCACGCAGTACAGAGTATTTAGTCAAGGTTCAGTGAATTCTTTGATGGATCGTATAATGCCGATTTAAATTGATTATTTTACCCTTCGTTCAGACGCTGACAGTCGCTCAGATAGTCGAGAAATTCCCCCGCCTCTTAGGCAGCCCGAAGGTTCCTCGCCGTGCCACTGGATCCTAACCTGAGCCAACTGAATCCAGTCCGTAAGATCACAGCCTGTGTCCCAAGTGGAAGGGCTTCCGTTCCAAAATCTTGTATGCAATTCTCATGTCTTCTACACGTGCTGCAAGCCCCGACCAGACCATCTTTGTCTGTCTGACTACCCCAATAATAAGTACTCGTCGCTCTGGTGATGGAGGCAGCAAGGACACCCGAAACGTCGGTAGACTTCTGCCGGACTACACGCTACAACCCAGAAGACGGCAATCTTCGGGCCCCAGAGTACAAATTCTGTTGCTGGTGACGGAACGGAAACAGGAACTGTTTTATCGGCCCAAGGGGAAATGTATCGCGTATTCAACGGCGGGGACCAGATTACGGCGTTTTGGACTCACAAATTCCTGACTTTTCATTGAGCAGAGATGGCCTCCCGCGTCGTACGTCAGCGTTCGACGACGAAGAACGTAAAACGCGCGGAGTTTTATCTGAAACGGAATTCGACGACATTTGTGCTGACGCAAAATGTTTTTGATCTTCTGATGACATTTCGAATTCCAATCAAAGACGGAAAAGTAATTTCACGCGCTCTTGTGACATAACCCCAAAAACTGCCTCCGCGGACTGGGACGACGGACGGACGGACATGCAGTTGCAGACACTGCGATTGATTGTAGTGGAGGAAGCGAGCGTCTCCGAAACGTCGGTTAATCTGTAATGGGCAGAGATTTCAACACCCCTGTGTCCCTGCTTACAATTTTGAGAACAAAATAACATTCTGCCGCGTTTTACTGCTACGGCGATGAACAGCTTCACGCAATGCCATCCCACCCCCGCCTTCCGTCCAACTGTTACGACAGACACCCCCTTCTCCGATTACGTCACGACACGTGCCTGCTTCTGGCCCGTATCGGCGTTTCAGAACGGAACAAGGAAAAGAAGAAGAATAAATGATGCCTTCTTTTAGTTAAATCTAAAATCGCATTTGAATAATTGTTCCCACGCTCCGACACGCAGCGCTCGAATAACTGGGCCTACTGATCATCAATGCACTATTTTCCTGAACTTGTACGTTCTCTTAATTTCCCCCGTGAACATAAATTTTGGGATTTTTAACCAGCGCTGGAGTGTGAACCCTGAATACCACAATCCCATCCCTTCCGCCTGAATGGGCTTGGTATTTGTGAAACACGAAAACGCCAGAATGTCTTATCGAGGGACCGCCGCTCTCTGGCTGAAATGTGGATGTTGTGTGCCAATAGTCTGAAGGCTGATAAGGCGTCTGATGTAGAAACGCGAGCGTAAATATTCCGAAACAAATGAGTCGGACAGGAGCCGAAGACGCAAGCAAACACGTGCTCCTGATTGACGTCAAATGGATGTTTATGAAAACCGAGACAGACTTTTCTGTGCAGAGAACACTTTTAGAAATCGAAGTGTTCGCTGAACGCACAGTTTAAAAGGGAATTTGGTTCTGTGGAGGAACTGCTGCACCTGATGTAGCTTTATCTCACGTATTCTATGACGCTCTCCAACGCCACATCCCAAGACGTTTTAAACTATTTTGCAGATTTTCATGAACATTCATACGAAAGCCGTCCTGTTAAGAGGCCCTTCGTATTTTTAATCTTCTGACTAATAATAATCAATAAGGCGGTCATGCGAAATTCTGAGTAACTTTTTGTGTAAAATGTAAAACATGCCGGCAACACGCAACACACATTTGTTCTTGTGTTTCAGAAACATGGCGATCCTGCCTGCAGGAACTCGATATTCCGAAGATGGAAATTAAATCGACGATGTTGTTCTGGGTTTTGACGCCGTGTAGACTCGTATCGTCATCCTGACCGCCGCGACAACTTCAAAATCTCACATACAAATTAAACTGGTGCTGTGAAGAGGGCCCATCATGCAGACTTTGCCGCAAGACCCAGTGGTAACGCGCTTATGAACATGGCAGCTTCGAATCCCTGCCGGGGACTCGATATCCAACGCGAATTACCATGGCCTTCTCTGTATTTCAAGAGAAAGTTAGATAGAACTAGCCCACAACCACAGCCCTCCTGATTTCACCCCGTCATATCTCATTCGACGCTGTGTGATGTCGGCGGTCCACACAGCGCCCATGAACAAAGGATTATCCTGCCAAAGCGTTAAAATTTTAAACTATGCCGCCTATTTACAAGAATGGCACGTCTTCTTATGACGTAAATCTATATTTAGCCAATGGCAACGAGCCTGTAGCGTTGTCATGGAGACATTGAGGTGCCGATGTGTTGCTACCAGCCTTTGTCCACCAGCGTGGCGAGATAAGAATAAAATGTACCTGCAGACATTTTTGTGTAGCGAAATATCCCTGTGCCGGTAGGAACTAACAGCGTGGCATTGCGAGTGTCCCGGCCGATGTGGACCAGCCTCACGGTCAGCTCTCGGGTACAACCTAATTTAGAAAACGCCTAGCACTAGCCTCACTGGTAGCAGCGTTTACGTGCTCCAGATCACGACCAGACAACGCCACGTGGTACGTGAAGGGCCCCCAGGTTGCTGTGGAGGTGGGAACACACACGTAAGTTTATTCAGGCGGCTTTTGGCGCATACGGTTAATTTTAATTTTGTGATGCTGTACAGCGTAAAGGTGGTAAAAGATTCTGACAGCTCACACACACACACGGTTCTGTAAAACTGTTACAAAATAAACTAAAGTTTTCAATTATTAGAATCGTACCCCAAATATGGGTATTGACAGAAGTCAATGTACAATTACAACCAACTGTTATTATATGTTACTAGAGGTTACCAAATCGACGCTTCCTGATGCTCCCAAAAATCATTACCAGAGGAAGCAGCATCGTGGGTTAGTTTGACAGGAATGCGCACTAAAACGCCGTACTTACAGTTTCTATGTTGCGATAGATGCACTGGAGCTGCGAAATTGGACGATTTGCTTGAAATCTGCCCTAGAGTTTTGGAAAACTTGGTTAGCGTACCCGCCATCCCCAATGCCTTGTTCGTTGTTCGGTGCCGACTACCATAGCATCAGCTGCTAGTAATAATTTCACTACAGTTGGCGCGCGCGCAGTTCGATTCTGATACGTGGTTACCAACTGCGTCGATAGTTTCGTTGCATAACGGAGGTGCGTACTTCATACATGTTACGGAAATAAAATGATGTTTGAGCGTCTGTTTGAGTACATAGGTTTATTAAAGGAGGTATAACGTAAGTGCATCATTAAACTTTGTATTGCAGTTCTTCATTTTAATTAGTTCCTTTTGGGTTGGTTGTGGTGGCTTTGCCGCTTTAGGTTCCGTCGATATTCGCAGTTCATTGGACTGGACCGGCCGTGTCAGGCGTGCGGATGCTGCGAAGACTATCAAATGCGTGTCAACGGTACCTTATGTCTTGTATATTAAGTTGAATTGTGAGGACTGATTTGATATCAACTTGAAGGCTTGCACTGGTAATAGTTTTCGCATGTTGTATCTGATTTTAATATGACTTTGTTGTCAAGTTTTAACACGATGGCTTCATGTTTGCTTGCGTCGCATTGGCGGCCTGTACAAAGATCATTTGTTTCTGGCGTAAAGGTCGTAAGATTCAATTCGTAAAATGAAGGTCTTCAGCTCAATGTTTCAATAAGAGGCGCGGTAGTGTCTGAGAAATCTTCTGATTTGTTACACAATTTCGTTGTTCGGAATTTTTCTGCATGACGCTTATACAAATACCTGAGTACTGTTGGGCAACAACATGAAATGCCATGGTATGTGAATAAATCTTATATTTAAATTTAGTTTTCCGAATAAAGAAGAGAGTAGAGTAGAGTAGAGTAGAGTAGAGTAGAGTAGAGTAGAGTAGAGTAGAGTAGAGTAGAGTAGAGTAGAGTAGAGTAGAGTAGAGTAGAGTTTATTTACATTCCATAGATCCTTCTTAGGACTCAACCAAAGGATGTAGAACATGTCATTTCATACAAGATACATACACTTCAGAACTTTCAACACAACTTTCTACACAAGTACAAGAACGCATTTCACATATCAATGTACATAAATTTCAGATTCTGTAATACAAGTATGAAAAATAATTTTACAAATTAATATACATAAACCTCAGAATTTTAAATATAAATACAAAACTTGCTTTACATATACGTAGATTATGGATATAAAGCTTAAACATTTTCAGCAGAGATGAAATCATCTACAGAATAGAAGGAGTGAGTAAAGAGGTAATCTTTCAATGCAGGCTTGAATACCTTTATATCATAATTTAGACTTTTAATTGTTGGTGGAAGATTATTAAATAACTTGATACCTGTATAGTACACTCCTTTCTGATATTTAGTAAAGTTAGCATTTGGCACATATAGATCATGTTTACGTCTTGTATTTAAATTATGTACATCTGTATTTCTTTTAAATTTATCCATGTTTTCCACCACAAATGATAGCAAGCAGAGTATAAATTCACTTGCAAGTGGAAGTATATTAAATTTACGAAATAATTTTCTACAAGGTAAGCTGCTTTTGACACCGGCCATTATTCTAATTATTTTTGTTTGCATGTAAAAGACTTTATTACTGTCTGTTGAATTTCCCCAAAAGATTAATCCATATGACACTACAGAGTGGAAGTAAGCAAAGTAAACTAGCTTTAAAGTATCTGTTGTCATGAGTGCCGGGAATGTTACGTATCGTATGTGCAAATTTACTTTTTCTAGTTTCAAGTCATGTTTGAGTCAAGGATTTGCCTCAGGCTTTACTTTAACAGAGTAGGAATAGTTATCAGTGGCAAATGCCAGCATACATATGTTTTTTATTGATTAGGAATAAACATAGTGTGTGTAGCATACAAATTTTACCCATATAATAGTTAATTGTTAGTGATAAATTCTAGCATATAAATATTACCATTCATTCCAGACATTTACTTTACAATATGTTCCCTACATGCGCAGTCCTTACAGTTATTGGCCTTTTAATGAAACACAAATGTGTGTTACTTTGAGGGAGTCATAACATAACTGCAGTAGACATTTACCGCTAGGTTCTTTTGCTAGGTAGATATAATTTTGTTATGTGACAACTGCCAGTTAAGGTCAGAACATCCAATTTTTTTCAGTGTAATATACGTGCAGTTTGAGCCCAAAGTGTAAATGCAGTTCAGTCTAAGCTCTGATGCTTTGGATCATTCAAATTATAATAAAGCTAAAATCCACAAGACCAATAAATCTGGTAATCGAGTTTATCTCTTTCTGATGGACCCAACAGATTAGGTGCCCCCCTTACCTATACCTGAGGACAAAGACAGATCTGGTTTTTGAAATGGTGTGCATTTTTTGGAGTAACAGACAGCAGATAAAGTCCAAAATCTTGGTAATCCATATTACAGGAGTTTCAGATGTTAAGTGTATCAGTGCAAATGAACTACAGCTTTGTTAAAGTGTTGAGGTGTAATTTGATGTAGTTTGAAGTTACTGCAAGTGTTCATGAGGTTCACTGCATCAGAGCCAATCAAACACACATGTTGCGAGTCATGTGGTGTGATATTTCTGTAGATGCTTATGATTTGAACTGGGATTACGTTGTGAGTGCTTATTTTAGTGGTCAGCGTAGGAAACAGTATTTTTAGCTTACACTGTTTATTTCATGGCAGAGGAGAGGCTTGTGGTGTTTTAATGTGTGTCCACAAGTAATATCTCTGAGCTTGTTAGTTTATACAGACCCATTCTTCCTTGAATTACTGAGTTTTTCAAATATGGTTTAGCCCAGTATGGTGTTTTCCACGCATTTTGAAGCGGTGCTTGAAGCACTTCTGTTCTCAATACCAGAACAAGTGTTGAAAGTTTCTGAGCCTGATCACAAAAAATGTTCTGAAGTCATCATGTCTTCATGGAAGTCCCTCCGTAAGTAAGAAGAGTGTCACTTGTGTTGCAGTGAGACATGGAACGGGGGCTGTTGGCACTTCGCTTGGTGGTGGCAAATGGGGGAGAAGGGGCGACCAGGTTGCTGTCTATCGCTTCTAAAGGATGTGGGAGTGCCATGGGGCGGGGTCCTCTTCTGCTGCAGCACCGCCTGTTCTGTGGCCACTCAGGGCGGCTCCATCAGAAGCAACAGGATGTGACAAAGTCTGCCATACCAAAAGATGCTCCAAAGCCTGTTCCTGGAATCCCATACAACAAGTTGTCAGTCGGTGTGCCGAAGGAGATCTGGAGGAATGAGCGGAGGTGAGTTCACTGTTGAATGATTTGATTGTACTTGGTGAGGCATTTTTCCCCCCCAAATTTAGAGTGTGAATTGAAAGGAAAAAAAAAAAGAATGTTTTTCAAGGCACCGTGAGGAGAATCATGCCGACAGTGAATGTTGAAATGTTCATATCAGAAAGTATTTGTCAGTTCTTGAAAACTGTCACAGCAAAAAAGTTGAAATGAACTGTGTGTATGACTGGCAGGGGACCTTTCCATTAAGCTGATATTTTATGTAATTCTGGATGGTACAATATCAAGTGGCTCTTAAAGGATGATATCATTCATATCTGTGACACCATTTCGTAGTGCTCTTATCTCAGTCATGAGATTTGATGGTGTAGCTTGCCTTTGCCTGACAGAAGCTTTTGATATAATCATTACTGATACAGAATATAATTCCTGTAATTTTCATGGCTTTGTTGGCTAAGCAGATAGCTGGTATCTCACGTTAAAATCCCATACATGCCTGTACTTGTATGTCATGGTTATCAGTTGTTTGTATATGAATCAATGCTTTCTGGATATCCTTAATTGCTTTTTTTATCGCTTTCCTTACTTTATAAATTCTGGCATCCTGGTGGCTCCATCAGGTACACGCCTCTCTCCTCTTCCCGGCAAATTTTGACCAATTGACCATTGGTTTATTACCCAAACATTCAGGGTTCTATGTTAGAAGGCATTAGTCTTCTTCTTCTATGGCTCTCCGGTCCGTATTTAGTTTATGGCCTCCTCAATTATCCTCTTCCATTCGGTCCTCTGTTAGGTCCGTCTGTCCGAGGCTTTGATCGAGGTTTCGAAACATCTTCCTTTTTACGGTGCAAGGTTGTTAGCCTTGCGACCAACCCCCAACCTGGAGGACCAGGGTACCTGTCTTAGTCTGACCTCTCCCCCTCGACCAATCTGGCTAGGGAGGCCCTACCAGTAGCTCTTGGGGTCACTGAGGTACTCAAACCCCACCACCACGATGAGGTGCAGGTACCATTAAGTGGGGAGAAGGCATTAGTAGTGATTTTATTTTTGAAGACTGTGTAGCCAACATGTTGAGTTTTTTGGTAGAACACTGATATTGCAAAGGCGATGATGTGTCCTTTAGTGATATTAAATTAATTACTTGGTTTAGTGGCATTGAAAGTGTGGACAAACTGCAGAGTATTGCACTGGAACCACATGAAATGTTTCGAGTGTGAAGCTTGGATTCCATTCTAATTTGTCTGTACTTCGTAAAGTGGAATGTTGTCTCATTTATCTTATCAGTATCTTAATTGCTGGTGATGTTATGTAAAGAAGTTATCAGTAATCTTACCTTCATACTTGTCATTTGGACGTGCTGATGGAAATATATGAAGTTTATGTGTACTTTTCTTATCACTACTCATAAATTGACTTTGTGTATGGGTGCATATCTTACTCCTCCATCCAAAGGCTGCTGCTTCAAGGAAGTGAATGGTGATCAACATACTGATGCATTTTGATTGGAGGAGGTGGTGATGTTGTGTGGCATTTTCCCATCATGCTCAGTTTCTGTGTCATATCCATGAACTGGAACATGTGACGAGTCGCATCTCCTGCAAGTTCTTCCAATACTTTGGTGTTCCTTTTAGTTTGATTATGACTAAGCAGAAGGGAAAACACCATCCTTATGAGAGGTTGTGGTCCCTGAAAGTTGCTTAAGGGATGAACATAGATTAAGGGTGTTTCAGAACAGGGTCCTGAGGAGATTTGGATGTAAGAGGGATGAAATAGCAGAAGGCCAGAGGAGTTACATAATTTGTACTCTACTGGGTATTATTTGGATGATTAAAGCAAGGAGGATAAAATGGTTGCAGCATGTAGCATGTTCATGGAAGAAATTAAGTATGCATTCAGGATCCTGGTAGAGTTATCTGATGGAGAGAGACTACTGGAGAACCAATATGAACTTGCATGTTATGAATGGTAATGAAAATAAAAACAAATATTAATGGAAAATATATCTGTTCATTTAATTTTGCACCATTCTCTCACGTTCTTTAATTTATTTGACAAGCAACATTCACATTGAAGTCACAATATTCCTCGTAATGACTGAATTACGGTCCACAATATGTGGGAAGACGAATTAGAAATGAGATTGGGGCTGTCAATATGCTAGGTCTAATATAGGCCTATTTAAAATATATTGTATAAATAAAACATATATTTTGTATAAAGTAAAAGTGATATGGAAGGTATTAATTAGGACCTAAAAAGGCGGGCAAAGCTGAGAATGACTTAGGAGGCAAATCTTAAATTATATTAATTTTCTTACAGCGCAGATAAAATGTATGGGGGGTTGTCAGGAAGGATCTATGAGAGATAGGAGTTGAAGGAGACTGGATTTTTGTTGGCCCAGGACAGGGTCTGGTGGAGGGCTTTGGTTAGTTCGGTGATGAACCTTCGGGTTCGGTAAGCCATCTAGTTAGTTAGTTAATTAGCAACATTCACATTGCAAAAGGGCAGAAATAAACCTGTTGGCAGTATTTCTGCAGAATATAGGCTACTCAAAGCAGTAAAATAGGGAAAATGTCTTACATACAAACATGCTTTCATTCATATACGTCTTTATTACATTCCATTGATCCATAAGTTAGTCAGATGACAATAGGATGTGAAATAAGTCATTACTGAAAGATATTAAAAAAAGAAAAACAGATTGTGACAGTGGATTTGTGGCTTATGATTTAGATCACAAATACTGGAACTGTGCAGCGGTTTCCTTTGGTGTTACGTAAGAGTTAAAGCTTGCTGTTGACTGTTCTTGTAAGCTATTGGTATGAATTATATAAGCAAGTTCTGGCCTGGTAGTACATTAGGGCCTCTTTCTTGTTCTGTCAACTCAAGGACAGAGAGAAGCTGTTAACACAGGTGGTGGCAATTGAAGAAAACATGTTTGGCATGAATACCACAGGCTGTACCATAAATATTGTATTTATTTCTGTCATATAGCATTCTTGTCTAGGTTTCTATCATTTTCTTTTAACATTACCTAAAATATGTGGAAAATAGAATATTCTGCTTCTGTTGCTCTGTCTAATGTCTGCTGGATGTGGGTTCTGTGTTATACTGATTGCGTTCAGTAGTTTGCTGCACCTTGTGGGGAAACTTGAAGCGTAATGTGTACAGAAGTGATCCACAGATCAAAATGAAGAATGTTACTGTGGAAGTTACGAAAGGTGAACTTTACTGTGTGTCACAGAATTTGTTATGCTGGTGTTTGGACATTGGAAAACATTTTTTGGCAGCTCAGCTTGTTGAGTAGTTTCACTCAAAAACGTTTTCCAGTCAAGATGACACCTTCACTTAGATTGTATGGTAGTGTGTGATTTTCTTATGTGAGAGACAAAACCCATCACATTTGACATTTCATTCTGTGAGTAGGCATTAAAAGGGAGAGAAAATAAGTAATGAACTGCTGTGCGTGCAATATGAGGCTCTGTGTTGTCACAGAGAACTGCTGTTCAGTGTGTAAATCTCAGTTTGTTTGTGATTTCTTAGGGTGGCGCTGACACCTGCTGCTGCAGCAACTCTGGTCAAGAAAGGCTTCGCCGTTCACGTGGAGGATGGGGCCGGTCTGGAGTCGAAGTTCCGCAACGAAGACTATGCTAGCGCTGGGGCCAAAGTTGTGGACAAAAGCACAGCCTTTCACTCAGGTTACAATATACCATGCTTTTGATATTTTGAATTTTGTTGTAATAAATTTAAAGGGAATTTACTGCTTCCATTTTTAGGATATAAGAATGGAGTCAGCAGTATCATTAATTTATTCCAGCACAGTTCATTGTGACAGATGTATCAGCATTGCTCAGTAAACCTGAAATCATGTGCTTTATTTTGTAACTAAACATTTATATGTGTATAACATGAATATTGTTTAGCAGATTACCTAAGTCGTATGGTGGGTCACTGACATTTGAATCCTGACTGGATTTTGTGTGGTTTTCCTCAGTCTTTTGAGCTTTAACTAGAATGTGACTTCTTTCTTCATTGTTCGTTGTACTTCATCGTATATAATGAGTTAAAACTGTATGGCTCCTGTAATCGATTCAGCATTATGAAATAGCCTGTGTACCAGCTGTCTGGGGTACAGTACAATTAAGTGGTGAGGCTGATGTATTATGTAAGCCATATTCTAGGTACTGAAATGTCCAGTCAGGGTTGCAGCATTTATTTTTGTCTTTACAGACATCGTGCTGAAAGTTCGCCAGCCGATGGTGAACGAGCTAGGGCAGTTTAAGGATGGAGGGACTTTGATATCCTTTTTGTTTCCTGGTCAAAACAAGGATCTTGTGGATCAGCTTCTTGCAAAGAAACTCACCGCATTTGGTAAGGCCGTGCACTTATAATTATTTGGTTTCTTGGGTGTATTCAACAATAGGAGGGAAGCTTGCATTCACTTTATAATTCTGACAACTCATATAAGCTGTACTGTATGTAAGTTTCATTGCATTTTAAAGTTCTTATATATTTTGAGTGTTTTGACAAATTTCAGTGAAGCTTGACTGTTTAGAATTATATCATGGAACATGTTTTCATGATTATTCAACATCCATTCTCTCAATAAAAATATTAAATCTGTTTTTTGTTATCAATTTATGTCACCCTTTCAACATATATCAGGAGCATTGTTTCATAGCCTTGAGTTATTCATGTTTCACTGCTGTCATCCTGTGGAATTTGTCTCGTTGCCTTAGGAGTTCTTACACAATGTGATGTTGATCTTGGTCATGCAAATATTGCCGTAGCCTTGTTTGCTAAGTACCCTGTTGACCAACAAGCATTTTGTAGCTTGTGTTACGCAAGTGGAATCACAGTGAAATTTGCCATGGCATGACAGTGAAAGCTCCTTCTGTTTGTAATGCGTAATGCACTGAAGTTAATTCTTCTGTTTCTAACAACTTGTATGTCACCCAGAAGCTATATTTAAATTATAATGCTCTGAAACATTGGTTTATGTTTTGTAGTTTCCTGATTTGTCTTTGCATTATAATTTTATGTGCTTTTATCAGGTTCAGTGGCTTCTAGTCAAGGGTAGTAAAAGCTTTTCAGAAATTATTTGCAAATTAATATTATTGCCTAATAGTAACAGGCCTGGACAACAGCCACAGAATAATATAATCTTTTTAAATGAATTCTCTGTTTGTAAGACCGAGATTAAATAACTTATTTATTGTGTAAATAAGGCATTTTTTCTCAAACATCTGCCTTTCTGATATGGGACGTATGTCTTCCTTGGGATCACAGGCTGTTCAGATGGATTCGGTACCCTTTAAAAATGGTTAATTTGTTAGGGCTGTTTCAGATATGAGACTGAAGATGAATTGTTTGTTTATTAACTTCTGATGCCTAATTTTTATCTCCTTTAAGAACAACGTGTTGTTGTTTCTCCTTGTGCCAGGCATGGACTGCATTCCTCGTATCTCGCGTGCGCAGGTTTTTGATGCACTTAGCTCCATGGCCAACATTGCTGGTTACAGGGCTGTGGTTGAGGCAGCAAACCAGTTTGGAAGATTTTTTTCAGGTTAGTGGTTTAGGAATGAAAACTCATTCATTCACACTTGGTTCCTCTCCAAAACAGTAGATGTGATTCATAAGGAGGCCATGTAATGTGACTAGTTGTTTGTACCTCCTCAGATGCTGTTCTTCAGATCTGATATGGTACAAAACATTATTAATAAAGAAAACGTTACCTCTGTGTTTAGAATTGTGAGATGAAGGCACGTAGCTTGAGCTCCATATGTTTTTAATTTCATGCTATTACTGCCTTACTGGCAGAATCTGTTGGATAGGTAAACTTTTGTCCTGTGGATTTGCTTTGCATAGAAAATTTGCAAACATAAGATTTTTTGTTTATGTTTTATATTTTGAAAAAAGCAGAAGTTCACTAAGAAAATACTGTGATGGCGCAATTGCCCAGACTTTTTTTTCTGGTTTAGTACACAAGCCAGAACTTATACTCAGTATGAATGAGGCTGATACTGTTTGTATCTCTCAGTCTCTGATATTAATATATGAAGTAACAACGAAAGAGTATAATTATAATGTTTGGGACGATAATCCTGGGCTGTCAGAAGATGCAAAAAGAAATGCTCTTAGAAGTGGTGAATGTTTGTGCTCATTGTGGATGGTGTTGGTTTGAAGGTGAGAGTTGTGGATTATGAACACCATGTGTTAACCATGAAAATGTAAGGCGATGCTACAGGTTCTGAAGGTCCTTGACTGTGTTCACAAGAGCTGTGCCGAGGCCATGTGAATCCAATCCACAATTCAGGATCTTTTATATGATATGTCTTATATTTGGGTGGGTGACAGGTTTGTGAAAGCAGTTATGTAGATAGAAATTGGTAGTGAGTGTAACCTATATCTGCAGGCCAGATCACTGCTGCTGGTAAGGTGCCCCCTGCAAAGATTCTTGTTATTGGTGGAGGAGTGGCAGGTCTGGCTGCTATTGGTCAGGCTAAGAGCATGGGTGCAATAGTACGAGGATTTGACACGCGGTCTTCGGTCAAGGAGCAGGTGGAGTCCCTGGGCGCAGAGTTCCTCGAAGTGACCATCAGGGTGAGTAGGAGTGACAGCTAATGTTGAGTTTGGTTTGGAAGTAGGTTTTCAAGTGTCTTGCTTGTTCTGTTGGCACTGACCTAACACTGTTTGGTACAGGAAGAAGGTGAGTCAACTGGTGGCTATGGGAAAGAAATGTCAAAGGAATTCATTGAAGCAGAACATGCTCTGTTTGCCAAGCAGGCACGTGACGTCGATATCATCATCACTACGGCCCTTATCCCCGGCAAGAAGGCCCCTCTGCTTATTCTTAAGGTGCAGTCTGAATTTCTTTCTGGAGGGTTTGTAACTGGTTAATGGACTAAAATGACATTTATACAGGGGATCTGGACTAAAATTGTGGAATTTAGTTCAGTTTTGGAGAAGAATATCATTAAGGTTTGTATCTTTATTTAAATTCAAATTAATGTTAATAATAAGGGAAAATATGCAGTATAATATCTGTAATATTGATAATCTTTGCCATTAATAGATTCACTTATATTGATTCATAAATGCTACAGAAATAATGTATAGTGAAACTGTCATTATACCTGATGATCGTGATACTTTTTTAGTCGCTGTGACACAGAAAACTGTTATGGCAAAGAAATGGAAGACAGCTTGTACTACATTGGATCTTGTCTCATCTACATTTATGAAGATGAATATTAGCTTCTCGTCTATGTACTGTAATTGTTACCCTTCCATAGTATTTCCAAAAAGCTTTGAGTTGAATAAGAAACCAGTTTGTGGTATAGTGAGTCTCTTGCAGGTAACACCTTACATTAAAGGGGTTATGAACTGACCCCCTACCCCTTCACCATCTGTTCACATTGTAATCATTCTCTGTGACTGTGGCCTGTTAAGCTTAAATGTGATGTTGCTAGGAACATGTGGAGGCCATGCGACCAGGGAGTGTGATTGTGGATCTGGCAGCAGAGACCGGTGGAAATGTAGAGACGACGCGGCCAGGGGAGATATATGTTCATAAAGATGTCATCCATGTTGGGCTTACGGATCTGTCCAGTCGCTTGCCAACGCAGAGCTCCACGCTCTATGCAAACAACATTTCAAAGTTCCTGCTCAGCATTGGTGGGTTTGTGATATGAACTCAAGGTGTTGACTTATGTAGAGTAGGAGAGGGAAATATGTAGTTGGTGTGGAAATTTTCAGTATTTGATTTAACATAGCAGTCATTGGGAAAGAAACCACAAGATACCAAGGTGACAGTGCTCCTCTGTAGTTCTTGCTGTCAGACTTCACTTCTTCGGTGTTGTGGAGTCTCAGCTGAAGGGATGGTGTTTCAGTAGCATAGACATGGCAAAAGGTGCAATAACAGCTGTTGCGAAGACCGCTCCAGAAAATTATTTTCAGCTGTACTTCCAAGAACTGTACAGCCAATGGAAAATGTGTTTGTAGTTGCCTAAGGACAGTAATCTGGCTGTGTTGTGTAATCTTAAAATTTGCATCATCGCTTATGACAGTAAATCCATTATCAGAACTTTCTGAACAAATCTTATATGTGCAGTGACATGTCACACAGTCTGAAGGTAATGATGTTTTAAGGAGGAAAATAGCTTACAGTGCAGTGAGAGAACAGAAATTTGAATGACTCTTACAGGTTCAAAGGATCACTTCCACATCTCCCTTGAGGACGAGGTTGTGCGTGGCAGCATCATAGTACAAAATGGACGGCTTCTTTGGCCCCCTCCTCCTCCACCCACGCCTGCTCCTGGTGCTGCTTCTGCTGTTGCCCCTAAACCGACTGCAGAAAAGCCGGTTGCTGTTGAGCCAAACTACTTTGCCAACACACTCAAAGATGCTCTTGTGTATACTGGAGGTAACATGCCACATGTTTCTCTGACATGTAATACGTATGCTTCAAATTTTTCATGTACCTTTTATCCTGTTCTGAGAATGTGTCAGCTAATCACAGTACCTCTACCAGGTTTTAAGAGAATGAATTCATTGAACTAGTTATGTGTTTGCAAGTGAAGATATTAAATTGTGATTAATTTGTTTGCTGGTGAAGTGGTAAAAATATATTGTTTTGTATTAGGTAAATTGTAGTAATTCATTAACTTTCCACATTTAGCTTGTTAGCATATTATGTTCTGTGTGTACCTGGTTTGAGTCTGGGATGTGGTGCTGGCCTTTGTAACAGATTTTTCTTTGTTCTCCTCAGTCCTCCAGGTGAATGGCAGGACTGTATTAGATTTGAGGTTCTGACGATAGTAAAGGTATCATTGTTGATCTTGTGGGTTGTAATGCCTTTTGGACTTGCAGGTAGATAACAACATTTTGGAGATAAAACTGTCTCCATCTTTGGTACTGAAGAAGACCTGTTGCAGTTTACATCGTAAAAGACCAACACTCACAATTTAAATGTTGCTGACTCTCTGGTTTGCCATTTCTTATCATTGTTCATTCCTGTATCTTGAAGTAGCAAATGACGTTTCCTTCCCACTTCTTTCCAGGTCACGACATGCATTATCCTCTCCTCATATTTTAGTCTAAACAACCTCTGCAAGTGCTACATTGTCACTAAATAACCAAAATATATCCCAAACTGTGAGATGTTTGAATTGTACCTCTTTCAGGGTTGGGAGGGTTGTTAGGTCTGGGTGTTGTTTCACCGAACGCTGCCTTCACCACGATGATGACTACGTTTGGACTGGCTGGCATAGTTGGCTATCACACTGTGTGGGGAGTAACCCCTGCCCTTCACTCACCACTCATGTCTGTCACAAATGCTATCTCTGGCATCACAGCTGTTGGGGGGATGCTGCTTATGGGTGGCACCGCCTTGCCCGAGACAACGCCACAGGTAAGATCCTCGAGTATTCTACTTACAACTTTATGTGGTTATTGGGACAGTCCTTATTATCTGGGATGGAAACTGTAAACAGTCGTCAGATTGTGTTATGTGTCTGGAATTTGAGTCCTGTGAAACTGTAGTGTTCTTGCTGAGGTTAGTTTCATTTGCAGATGTTGGGAGCAGGAGCAGCCTTTGTTTCATTTATCAATGTGTTTGGAGGTTTTGTTGTGACACAGCGCATGCTGGACATGTTCAGAAGGTGAGTTTGTGCAGCCGTAAGTGGCAGTTGTTTACTGAGCTTTGTGTTTAGCTCCCCTTTGACATTGCAGTGTGTCCTTTCACAACTTGGCCTGTGGTACTTCATTATCAAATACTTAGAGTGAAACCTGTGTCTATTAGAAAAATGTATGTGTTCCTCAGAATATAGTTTGAAATCTAATGTAACAGAATGTAAAATAGGCTGGAATGTTTTTGAATTACAAATTCTGTTGTAATTTAATAACATTAGTTTTAACCCTTTCACAACTGATCTGAATACTGTGTTCTTTAAGCCTTTGTGTTAGACGTTGTATTGGGGTTTTTGTGTTGTGTGTTTATATTTGTGAAATGTTTTACCCGAATTCGTCTCCATACTGCCATCCTGTACGCATGCAGGATGTTGACTTTGCATTGTTTGGATTTTAGGCCGACAGACCCACCCGAGTATAACATTCTGTATGCAGTTCCTGGGGCAGCATTTCTAGGACTGTATGGCTGGGGTGCGGCAAATGGTTATGGTGAAATTCACCAGATGGCTTACCTGGTATCGTCTCTGTGCTGCATAGGAGCGCTGGCTGGCCTCAGTACCCAAGCCACATCCAGGCTTGGCAACAACCTTGGCATGGTGAGAAGTGCTTCAGTCTGAGCAGTCAGGCTAGTAGGAACTGTAAATTAATACTTCTAGAATTTGTTGGCACATTGTTTCACAAATTCTACTACCCCAAATTTTCACTGTTGCTCTTGCCATATACTACCTCAGAGTTTCACGCAGTTACCGTGTTTGTCATGATCAGTATATGAAGATCTTTCATGCACATTCATTATGTGTGCGCGGTTATGTTCTGCCTCTAGAAAAATTTTAACATGCCTAGCTTCAGTATATTATTAGTTGTTGCTGCCATATCAGGAGCTGAATTTAGATTCCTCATATCTACCCAATTGTAATTCTACATCCTACAAGTATTTGACCAAAATATAAATTTAATATTTTTTCATGATTTATTACCATACAAAATTTTGGTATGTTACATGAAGTGACTAGTGTTTGTCTGTCTCACAACTTTACACGGTTGTATTGGTCTACAGAATCAAGAAATGTGAGCAAGGGGTGGCTTATAGTGACATGATGTTGTTGAGTTTCACAAAAATTGGTCACTTGGTTCAAAAGGAAGACACCCAATGTTTTTGGGTTCACATTCTGAGTCCAGTACCAAGGCTCTTGAGTTTGAGACGAGTGCATATTTCTCCATATGATTCTCCCATACAAGATGAAGCACCCGTCTTGGTCTCTCTCTTGTCTTAATCATAACTGTCACTGGCTGATCCTGAAATATGCTCCCACCTCAGAAGTATTCAGTCACCCTTACTGGGTAGGTAAAGTGAGAACGGGTCACAATGGAGGCAACAGGAAGGGAGAATTTTTTGAATTGTATCTACATCTGTAGGCTAATAGAAACAACGCAGTTTTCTGATTTCACTTTACTGTACATTTCTTGCCTGTATAAACAGTGTTTTACAAGTGTGGGAAACACGGATACAAAGTCCCCAATTAAAAAGTATTTCATTTCTCAATAACTTTTCTCTTTTTGTTTATCCAAATGTTCTTTCAGTGCCCAGCTAGAGCCAGTACAGATTTTTCTGTTTACTGCCTTCAACTCTTCTTCTTATTATGAAGGCAAAACTTTGTGAACTGGTCTGACCCCTAAATAATTTTCTTTGTAAGTCTGAGATCTTACTGTTCAAAACACTGTATGCAGATCGGTGTGAGTGGAGGTATAGCAGCTACTCTAGGCCACATGGCCCCAAGTGTTGATGTGATGACGCAGATGGCAGCATGCATGGCCACTGGAGGTGTTCTAGGTACGACAATCGCTAGGAAGATAGACATCACTGACCTCCCTCAGCTAGTGGCTGGCTTCCACAGGTAACTTGTTATGATTAATATGATATGAAACTGTCTTGAGACATTCCTGAAGAAAACTGAGCAAATCCAGATATTAAAGCAGGAAGGTAAAATGAATTTTATTCTGTGAGGAATCATTACACTAAGGTTGTATTACAATGTAATTCAGAACCATAATTTGGATTGCCATCATCTTATACATTTGTGGAATCTCATTTAAATCTTGCTTTGAATTTTGGGAGTCGGTGTAACTCAGTGCAGTGACTAGGCCATGGGCTGCATGTCTGGGGTTTGATTTCTGGCAGGAACAGAGATTTTTGTTTTTGCCGACACTGGCATCTGTGCAGCCTGTTCTCTGATGGTGCAGGGAGTAGGGGATAAGAATGTGGAGCAGTGCATGATGCTTGCATTCCACTGTACATTTTCATGGTGAGGTGCTTGATTGAAGATAGTGGACAATGTTAACTATGCCTTTTTACTTTGTATGATCACAGTGCTTTGTTTGGGAGCACAGTATGGCACACAAGTACATAATAATCTGGAATCTCATATTTCAAAATAGCAGGAGGTGGGAAATGTTCTGATAGAATCCTTCCGGCAAATATGTGAATGCCAATTAACGATTGTATATGGAAACTAGAATGCCTTAAGAATTGCAATAAATTTTAACACTGAAAGGGGTTGTCGACTGTTGGATTCAGGAAAAGCCGCATCCTACAAGACAATTGTTGTACAAGTTCTCTTGTCTGAATAAGATCTGTGGTACACACAATGTCAGAGAATGTCAGTATTATGCAAGTTACACTTCATGTTTTGTTGTTTTCAGTCTGGTTGGGCTGGCAGCTGTTCTCACGTGTATTGCCACTTACATCCACGAATTCCCCACCTTTGCAACAGACCCTTCAGCAAACGTTGTTAAAACTGCAACATTCCTAGGAACGTACATTGGAGGTGTAACTCTGAGGTAAACATCCGTTTTGGGTTCTTTGTATAGAGTGCAGGAAGGGATGTGGCATCGGTGATAATGAATACAGTTTATAATAAGACAAACTTAGGTGAAGATTGGGCATTTTTGTTGGTTAACTATAATACATGAATCCCTGTTAGACATTGATCACAGTATTTATATGGCTACTGTTGAAGAAATTGCTTGGAAATCTAAAACAGATGGGAGAATAATGTTAAAATGAACCTTCAGAAATATGTTATGAGAATGTGGACTGGATTTGTCTTGCTTAAGATGTGGTCCGTTGGTGGCTGTCATGAACATGGTAATGAACCTTCATGTTCCACAAAGTGTGGGGAATTTCTTGACACACTCAGCAATAATTATGTTCTCAAGGACTCTGCTCCTTATACTTACCTTAATACTTGTTATGACTGTTTCCAGTGGTTCGCTGGTCGCGTATGGCAAACTGCAAGGTGTTCTTGACTCGGCGCCACTGTTGCTTCCAGGCCGACATGCCATTAATCTAGGACTAGGTGCAGCCAATATTGGGACTTTGGCAGTGTACTTTATGGACCCCTCCATGTCCGTTGGACTGTCCATGCTTGGAGCCACCGCTGCACTCTCTACTGTCATGGGTGTCACTCTAACAGCGGCTATTGGAGGTACACGCTGTGCCTGTGTTATGAGTATTGTCTGAGGTACATTTGACTTATGTGACATTTCAGGTGAATGATTGTCATTATACTGATAGACAAATTATTCAGAGACAAGTGGTGGTGGTTGAAGTGAAACCGAGGTCATTAATCGTACCACCCGACTTTCTGTATATCAAGTATACTTCAGACATAATAGTCATATAATGAATCAACTTGCAGAAAGTTTGTTTAGTTGGTTATAAATTTGAAGATCCTTAGTTAAACCTGTTTAACTACAGATTTTATATAGCACTGATAAATGTTGTTCATTACATATAAATGAAAAGTGCGTGAATTCCTGTGCATAGGGCCGTGCCACGAAGACATACAGGGGCTGTGGTTGTAAAGCTCCACATTCTTACCCTTGGCACAGAGAGCCTATCCAAAGGAAAGGATTTCCATGTTGTGTGTGGTGGTGACATGATAAAGCTCAATGCTGCAACTGAGATTTTAACCCAAAGAATAAGGAAGTTTTAGAAACCTTTCTCAAGGACAGGATAATTTGTTTTGTAATACCAGGAAGACCATTGGCACTTGCTTCACGGAAGGATGCGAGTGTTACTTCCAAATGCCAGATTTTATCAAAATATGTTTAATAGTTTTGAGAAGGAACCAATGTGTATTCATTGACTGCACTTTGTGAACAGATGAAGTGTGAATGATGTGTTGACAGGAGCTGACATGCCAGTGGTTATCACAGTGCTCAACAGCTACTCTGGCTGGGCCCTGTGTGCCGAAGGTTTCATGCTCAACAACAACCTCATGACGATAATCGGAGCCCTCATCGGTTCATCTGGTGCCATCTTGTCCTACATTATGTGCAAGGTTTGTCCAGTCCTTCCTGTATGTGATGGGAACCTGAAGGCCTACTCCAGATGACTGACCTGAAGTTTAAATTTTCCGTTTATTTTTATTACCAAGTTTGTGTGTCTGTCTAAAGACCTTGCACTTGTGGTTGGTTAACCTTTTAAAGTACAGTGATTACTATATGAACCACTTGCTTCAAGTATCAGTTACTCAGTATTTTGCATGCAGAATGTATTAATGGGTTTTGTTTGATTCTTGGATTTTTTTATTTCCTCAGACAGCATTAACCAGCTTATGTTTGTAATAGAGGCGTTTTCTGTTTTATTTGTAGCAGGAACTAAATTTCTCGAAGATTATTTACATGAGCTTAGGCTTCAAGGATTTAAGCCTGAAAAGTTTAGTTTCACAGAGAAGTGCCCATAAATTTCGCTTTAATTGCAGGCTATGAACCGATCACTGATAAATGTAATCATGGGTGGCTTTGGAACGTCATCGACGCGCGCGGGGAAGCCCAAAGAGGTCACAGGCACTCACACAGAGGTGAACGTAGATGGAGCTGTGGAACAAATTATGAATGCTAAGAACATCATCATCACACCAGGTACAGACATGATATGATGTGTACCAGACATTGCAGGATCAATTTACTTGTCTGCTAAGACAACGCCACATTTTGGATGGCAGGAATATATTACTGCTTTACCTGTTTATAGAAAGGGCGATAAAACTGACCATAATAAACATTTCTGAATATCACATATTGACTTTGTACAAAATTGTATCTGTTGTTTCCTCCATATTAATTCTGTGTGTTCATAAATTGGCTGGGGATTGCCAGTGGCCATTTAAGTATGCTAGATGAACTACTGATCAGATAATCTGCATTTGTCAAGTACTGCATATGCAATAGCAGTGCAGTGAGACAGTACATCATCTTTTTATAGACTTGCATAAAACCTGTGATTCGATTAGAAGAGCAGTATTATGGATCAATACCATTGAACTCAGGTCCATGTCCCACTGGCACAGCATGTTCCCATCTCCACTCATTAACAGTCACATTTCTGTTGGTAGGGTACGGTCTCTGTGTGGCGAAGGCTCAGTATCCCATTGCTGAGATGGTGGAGACTTTGAAGAAAAAGGGCAAGAAAGTGAGGTTTGGAATCCACCCGGTTGCAGGTGAGCTGGGGTTTGATTGCTCGCAGCTTTACTTATTAGGCTGCGATATTCAGGCTTATTGTGTGGCCACAGGTTGAGATTTCTGCCTGGAGTTTGGCTCTGTGACTCAAATTTTCCATAGATTTTGTCTGCTTTTCTGTGCAAATGTAATATCATAACTTGACTATTCTGTTTCCTTTCACATTGTTCTCAGTTAATCATTCATAGTCATTGTACCATTTGGCACTAAAAAGCATTCTTACAATAAATCTACTAGCCACTGAACTGCGAGTTTTGTATATTTTCATGGTATAAATAACTACATAGGTTTCATTGTTTCATTGAATGTGACCAGATGTCAGCAGAGTCGTTAGGCCACGACTAAGCTCGCAGTTGGCGCAGTACTCACTTTCACCTCTTGAGCACAGATCTCGTGTGGATTGATTCTGTGCCTCTGCAGTGAACAGTTAGTGTGCAAATTCATATTTCTTCTTGGGCCGCAGGACGGATGCCTGGACAGCTGAACGTGCTTCTGGCAGAAGCAGGTGTACCGTATGATGATGTGCTTGAAATGGATGAGATTAATGATGACTTCCCAGAAACGGACTTGGTGCTAGTGATTGGTGCCAATGATACCGTGAACAGTGCCGCTGAAGATGATCCAAACTCCATTATAGCAGGGATGCCAGTGCTCAGAGTATGGAAAGCCAACCAGGTACCTGTCTTAATATAAATAGGATATGGGTGTGTGTGTGGACTGGATTCTTCCAGCTGAAGGGTTTATATAGTCCAGTGGCAGAATTTTGTGAATACAGTAATTAAGCTACAGTTCCATAAATGGAGGAAGTTTCTTGACCAGATGAGGTATTACAACTTCTCAATAAAAACTCTGCTGCATGGAGTTACTTGGTTTGTTGACAAGTACACTGTAATAAACTGTTAGAGTTGGCAGAAGGCGGATAATAATTGAATCGAGCTGTCTTGGTTTACTGGGTCATTTGTTTCACCTGTGCTTATAAATACAAACTTGTATATGTGACTGGATTGAAGCTAGAGCCTTTTGAATGGGCTTCTGGTTCATCAAGTCCTTTAAAACAGAAATTAATTAGAGTATTAACAGATTTGATGCTCCTAACATAGTAGAATATAGTCAAGTTGCTGGTGTATTTAAATATTAAGTAAGATCTGTTATAAGAAAGAGCATTTAAATAATTCCTAGCATAATCTGAGATGTGACTTTGGTGCAGGTAATAGTGATGAAGCGGTCGCTGGGTGTTGGATATGCGGCGGTAGACAACCCCATCTTCTACAACCCTAACACTGCCATGCTGCTTGGAGATGCGAAAAAGACCTGCGATACACTGCTGTCTAAACTGAAGGAGAAGTATGTAAACGTAGGCTGAGGATTGGCTGTGGCAATAACTTGGTAGTGCGTTGTTTGCCGAATTTTTATGGGGTATGTACTCCATGAAGTGGACTGCAGGGCACTGCCATGTGATAACAATAACGGCATTATGTTTTCATAATACATAAATTGTACATGCATATATGTGAAAGCAGCCACTTTGTAAAGTGATGTTTTGTCATGGAGGAACTGTTCCCTCTCCGCATTTTACTGTACCAAGAGCAGTTGTAAAGAATCTTTATTTAGAAAATTTTCAATAATATGCAACCTGTGGACCATTCACATATCAAGTGCTTCAATATTTCAAGCAGCTGGTATCATTCTCAGTCTGTTCTTTGAAACGGAAAAAGTTTCTAGTGAATATGTGCGCTCATATTATTTTACTTAATTACCAGAAGGGTGTGCTTTCTGCTGTATTGTAGTGGCAGGAGTGGGAACATCATTTCCACATGAACGTCGCAGAACGTAATTAAAAATGGAGGGGGTCCTTGATGCAGGCAGTAGGCGCATGATGTGTACGTCTTCATGTGCACATTTCAGGACAGTCCATTTTGTTTAAAAATTGGGTACTATTTATTTTAGATTGTGTGATATTGCATCTATAACAGCATGGATAGGTTGGTAAGCTCCAGGTTGGGGGAAATATCTCTTAATATGAGAGTTTAAAGAAGTAACTTAAAAATTTAAATGTTTGAGAATTCTACATTTAAACAGAATACCTACTGCTGTTACATGACACCTGATTTATATTTTATAAAGGACGAGTATTGTTATTTTCAGCTTAATTCCTGTGTCAATCAGTAAACATTGGGTGAGATATAATTTTCAACAAAACCCCTTTCCTCCAATCCATTTCTTGGAATATTAAATTGTGTAAATTTCATGTTGAAAAAGAGAAGTTTGGAAACAAGATTGTTTTCCGTCTCTCTTGAACGTAAGGATATTCCTTTAAAAGAACACGAGTGGCAGGACAATATGTTGCTTTTATGTCTGGATTTTGAGGAATGTGTGACATTTTCTTTCTCTTTCTTCCCTTTTTTTACCCCGTGATGAACTTTGCTGATTTGATAATCTCCGCTGTCTGCGTGTGCACGAAGTGCAATGAAGTTTAAGGCCTGTTAGGACAGGTTGCACTAGTTTTCTGTCCAATTCGATGAGAAACAAGATAGTGACAAAATCGTACTTTGGAGTAGGAGGGAGAATATTGCACATATTTTTCTACAATTGCATCCAAATAACTAATGAATTTGAAGTAAAGTTCTGTCTACTGCATGTTTATTCCTAGTCATGTAGTCTGCAATAAGTTTTCTCGCTCTTAGAAGGCCCAGCCGAACAATTGCTTCTGTTTCTGTACAGTGGCTTTATAACCGTTTGATAATTTTGCATATGAAAGTGAAGGCGAACAAAATAGAAATTGTACGCTGTTTGATTTTGCATCAATCCGTGCTTGTCTAAGTTGACCATCTTTAGTACATGGTGTAGCTAATGAAATGGCACATCAAAAGTTTGTCAAATTCTTACCAATTTGGAAATGCGGTCTGAAGAGGTTACTGATAAATTACTGTTTTATGGATTGAATATGTTTTCGTTTATTGATGATATAAAACTGAAGAAACCAAACTGCCTAGGGACCAGTAGACAGTAATGAAGGGTACATGAAATTACCATTCATAAGACTTGTCTTGTGAAATGGACTGAAGTGCAAGTGTGGAATGTGTAACACAGCGTACGCTCACAGGCTATTTTAGTAGGATTTGAGGTTTTCACAGCAGTGAGCGCAGAGTTGGCTGTATTTTGGGTTGTAGCGTTGGTAAACTTTTACCAGACTACGTGATGCTACAACCCAGGTAGTTTTGTTTGTTTCCTGTGTCAGGATGATACAGTACTTTGTGTACAGATCAATAACTTGGCTGCTTGTACATAGACGTCGCTTATAATTATGAAATAGGCAGGTGAAATGAGTGATCAGTATCTCTAAACTGCATGGTTGTTTTTTAATTTTATTATTCAGTATCAGGAGACAGAAAACTTGGCAATGTGTAGTGACCCATTCTGGTGTTCAAATTACTGGTCTGAATATACAGTAATTTATAATTTGACTGCTGTTTATTGGCTGATGCCTAAACCATAACACGGCACAGATATATTATTATATATTGGGGAGTGGCGGCCCGTCCATCAGAGCTGCAGCACCCCCTATAATTTTTCAAAAATTGAAAAAATTATGTTTGTGTTTATATAATTTGTAACACTTTGTTTCCTCTGTATCATTATTTTAATATTGCCCCTTACGTTGTCATTATCCACTAATCGGCTGAACTGATAATAAGTCCGCGGGCGAGGTTTGCGATGCAGAAGGGGATATCATCCGGCTGCAAGGATTTCAGTGCGGCTAGCCGGTCAAAAGCATCGAGCGGGGTGGTTGGTGGAGTGAGGGGCAGTTCACTGGTACAGTGCTGATCAGGGCTGCAAGGTTTGCACATAACGGAGCTGCAGTCCCCGCAGCCAGCTTATAGTAAACGCGCTTGCCCGATACCACGTCTTTTAGACTGGTTTCTGTATCACAAACTGTTCGTGGTTATTGTTAATGAAGGTTCAATAATTCTGTGTGCTGACTATTTTTTGTTCTGAAAATGTGAAGTGTCGAAAGCTGAGAGGAAAGGACAAATCTGCAAGTAGATTGAAGGGTAATATTAAAATTAATGTTGAAGGAATGTGAGGGTTTGGACTGGATTAATCTGGCTCAGGGTATGCTCAAATGGATGTTTTGAACATAGTAACGATCTTTCGGGCTTCATGAAAGACAGGGAATTTATGCCTAGATCCTTCGATTCAGGCGCATATACTAAAATTTTACTAATATTTTTCCTGTTTCCAACATGAAACAAATTGCCACCTACGTCATCATCTGATTCTCATTTAAGATAGTTGAAACACTTGAAAAATTAAAGTGTCTCTGCGAAAAAAAAAAGCTTAATATCATGGTCTTCGTCCTTAAACCACTGTGAAACTTCACAAACACGAAACAACATAAACCTAACCTTATTTCAACAACAGCTGATTTCAAGTCGTAAAAACGGAGTGAAGGTGCGGAGTAGCAGGAACGGTGATGGTGCTGCTCCCACTCCGCGTGGTAATCCCTGCAACCACGCAATATGGCGTCCCCCATCAGGGGAGAGCGATGGAACGCGAAGACGGCTCTGGCCTTTAGGAATGTCTGTCATTCTGAATGAGCCACACGTCACGAGAAAGGCGTCAGGAAAGGCGCAGGCGACCCGAAGCTGCCGTACCCCGTCGTGATGGAATCGTGACACTTTGAGGGTAGAAGGGGCGGGATGTCCTGCGGTAGATTGCGGCCCCTCTGGGTGCAGTCGCCTTCGGGGTCCACGGGGTTGGCTTGGGGTAGGAGTGCCACCGGGCGGGACCTCTTCTCCACGAGTACGAAACACACAGTGGAAACGAACTACAACAGGAAACAAAAGCTTCTTATGTCCTAAGAGCTGGCCAGTGGCCCCTGTCGTGAGCCACACTAATCCACTCCACGCTTAAGCAATCTATTTCTTTAAGATGCATTTTAATAATATCTTCGCCAAGGTACCACAACCGGTCTTGGCCCTTTGAACTTTTAGACTAAAATACTCTCACCTCTTCTGCGCATGCTGCCTGTCCTTCCCATCACATTTACTCACCACTAGGATGTGCGTGGTGACAGGAAACAGCGTCCCACTCCTGAACCCCACTGTGTCGTATAGCACCCCCCCAACTGAAGGCCCCACGAACGCCCCGAGCGAGAAGAAGGAGGTCCACAGCCCCGACACCATCCCGTACGTTGTCATGTCATCGGGGAACCCCTTCGCCCTGAAGGAAAAACGGTAGGCACAATTGGGGCACCCTGTTTTCGGGGAATAGAAATTTGGAGGCCGGGTTGGGGGTTGGATATGGGGTTTACATCCCCATCCCGGAAAGAAGTAACTGTACAGAAACCTAAAGGAGGCCAAGGTCTTTAGTAGTAGCAGCAGCAGGACCATGTTTTCTAAATTCATACTTACACAGAGGATCTGATGACGTCAATGAAGCAAGGCACCAGGATGCAGGCCGTGCCGATGCCGTGGACAACGAGTCCAAGAACACACATCGACAGGGTGCTGCAAAGAGGGAGGACACATGACCGATAATTTCCTCAAACAGCGTTAACCACTTCTTTTGTTTTAGTGAAGTCTTGTTTTCTTTGAGGTACGAACTGAATTCTTAAGACGACCTTCGGGCTTCAAAGGGTTAAGCATATCTTTAGCGAGAATTGTGTTTGGGTTTACCAGCTCTGAATAAATCAGGGAAGTCAGTGAGGCTTACAGACTTACAATTAAATTGATTAGGTTTATCGGTTGGCAATTTTTTGTCCACCAGTACATTAGCTTATTCGTTAGTGAGACAGACAGACAATAAGTTATTCAACAAATCATTGGCCTCTCCACTTGCTGTTCAGTCTGACAGAGCGGTTTTTAGAAAATTCTGCTCACTTTGGGAGGGGCAGCCCCGGTAGAGGGCCCACCAGGACGTAGCTGGTCACTATGCACGCACTGCCGGCCACCATCACCTTCTTGGTGTACACATTGAGGTCACAGAGGCGTCCCACGAGGGGCGCAGACACCGCGTACAGCGTCCCACTGATCACGAACATCACCCCCGTCATCAGTGGCGTTAGCTGGAACTGAAACAAACGATCGCCACTGACTTCCTCGTAGTGCCTCCTTTCCTCTTCTTCGTGAGAAATGACCTAAGACTCATACTCGAGGCGTTCAGATGGTCCACACATTCCCTGTCTTTTATGCTCACCGCCCTTATGCCCGCTACATGACCTCAAAATATCATCCTCCTGCTAACCTTACGAACACAAGACTTCCGCAATATCTTTTATTCGTAGGATTTGATGTTTTCTCGGCGGTGAGTCTGATGGCTGTGTTCTGGGCTGTTGCGCTTTGTGGTCTGATAGAAATTTACCGACGTTTCAGAGGTCCTTGTTGCCTCCATCATCAGGGCGATGATTTTTGAAAATAAGATGCTCAGGAAGATAATTGAACGTCTGAAGAATTAAATATGTGGGAAATTTAGGGTATTACATAACGAGAGTCTGCGTGAATTGTACAGGTCACCTAGTAGGGTGAGGATAGAGAAGTCTAGGAGACCTCGATGGGCTGGGCATGCAGCATGGTAAGGGGGGAGGTGCACACAGAATTTTGGTGGGAAATCTTTATGGTAAACAACCACTGGCCAGACTAAGAAGGAGATGGGAGAATTATATCAAGATGGATCTCAGGGAGGTGGGCTGTGAGGTTAAATGGATGAAGTTGGCTCAGGATCGTGTTCGGTGGCGGGCTTTGGTGTTGAACCTGCGGGTTTTGCGCCAGTAAATTAGTGTTAGCCCACCAGATATTAATTCGCTTGAAGTGAAACACGTCGTGGAATTAAAATATCATTTGAGTTTTATATGTTATTACCAATGTAATTTGTGTGATAATTGTATGTTAATCCAACTTTGTCAGGTAAATGGTATGACATTCCCCCCTCAGGTCACATGATTTGTTTGGTTGTGTGAAGTAAGCTTACATTTAACCTGCCATCTATACAATCGAGTATTAAACTCATGAAGTCGAGCGGATTTTCGAGCGTTAGAACGTTTGAGTGTCGTGCTTATTTCTAATTACAGTTATGAAATTGTTGGTAGTACATTGCAGTGTATGAGTAATGTAAGTTCGCATCTAAATGTTTTTGTTATATGTGAGAGACTTTTTCTACTTTACAACTGTTAAGGAAGTTATCTTCACCTGGGTAATGGAGACCTTATACAGGCAAGTTTTCCGTTGTGTTACTTTAGATTTAATTACTTTTCATTTCGCTCATTCCATTTATTTGCCTTGTAAAATAAAAATTACGGCTATTTTTAATTATCGAGCACATATAAACAACAAGTGAACTGAACTATGTTTTAGATATCAGAATAACTCTCAGGGCAAAGTGAATGGGTTGCTGTATTTGTTCCAAATTTGTTATACTACTTTTGTATCACTGTTAAATAATTTAAAATCATTTGTGTCTCAAATAGGTAGACTTTGGAGTTAGTAATGAAAGATCTGATATGTCATTAATCCGTTTTGGCATTCAGTGGGAATGTTCCATAGAAATTCAGTTTCCTTAGCTAGTTTAATGACAATTTCTGAACCAAGTTTATGTTCCTTCTGATATGAACAAATAATTTATAACCAATATCCATAATTGAGAATGAGTTATACAAATATTTACAAACCCACATTAATATGTGGCTTGAGTTGGAGTTAAGAGTGTTTACATGCCATTGATCCTTCTTTGGGCCTAATGAAAAGATGTAGAACATTTCATGATACAAGTACAGAACTTACTTCACGTGCAGGTATGGATACTTTTGTATTATGATTTAAAGTTTTAATTGTAGGTGTATGGTTATTGAGAAACTTGATACCTGTATAATATACTTCTTTCTGATATTTAGTGAGGTTAGTTTTTGGCATGTGAAGGTCACATTTACATTTTGTGGTTAAATTGTGCACATCTGTGTTTCTTTGTAATTTGCCCATATTTGCTACCACAAATGATGCAAAGGAGAGTACATATTCTCCTGAAAGTGGTAGTGTATTAAATTTCCAAAATAATTTTCAACAAAACACTGCTTTTAACAAGTGCCATTATTCTAATTAACTGGTGCAACTGTTCTCATGTCAAGGCATGCAGAGCTTAGTTTGGTAATTGTATGTTCAATGTGTTTTTTCCAATTTAAGTTATTGTCAGTCTGTAAGCCAAAGAATTTGTTTGCTTCAACTTCATCAATTTATTTATTGTCAAAGCCTATATTTAAACTACGACATGTTTCATTCTTAGTAGCAAATTTTATGTTGTTTATTTTATCAAACTTTAGTGCCTTAAACCATTTGTTTGGTTTGGCAAAGACATCATTCATGATATTTTGAAGACGGCACAATTCGGGATACCTGTTTCATCGGCAAAGAGAATAGGTTTGGGTTGACAGATTTATAGTTGCAGCCAAATCATTGATATATATGAAGCACTGAACCTTGTGGCACTCCATGATTTACAGTGTCGCATTCTGAGTGGGTATTATGATTGGTATGGGAGGATTTAATTTCTGCTTTCTGCCTTCTGTTATTTAGGTAAGATTTAAACCACTGTCCTGGTACACCTCAAATTCAATAAAATATAAGTTTCATCAGTAATAATTCATGGTTCACAAAATAAAATGCTTTGGTAAGATCTCAACATTATTAAGGGCATAAAAATGTTATCAATGGCAGAGTTACAGCTGTTTTGAATTATCGTGGGCTAATACCAAATCACTGGGTCCTGCACGTTGATTGCAGCTCGTTTTGAAAACGCTGGTGGGATAATGAGATAGGAGTTATCAAAATAGGTTTTGAGCATGCGTACTGAATAAATGTCTGAAGCGAGCGCAGAGTGGCATCCATACCTTTCTGAGGTGAGGCTCGAGCGTTGCCGAGTAGAAACCCAAGCTGATAGCTGTCGCAGCTATGCAGAATGAATCGAGTACCACGTCGGGAATTTTAAACATAGCTAACAGCTTTACTGTAACAAAAGAAAGGATTTGGTAATTGTGCAATCTTGCAAAACTGAGATATGTCCAATTGCAAATGCACAGGAAAAGAATTAGAGACATTTTGAGGAGAAACTGAAAGAGGATTTTGAGGCTAGTACAGGCATTAGTTTTTCTAATCTGTGTATCATATTTAGCCTTGTTTTCTGAAAGAAAATGGTTAACTAGTAAGACAGTTGTATTATATTCTTTTATATTAGCACAGGAAGGGGATTCATAATTACTTAGTAGCATCGTTGTTTGAAGTTTGCATTGGGTGATAGTTAAACGTTAGAACCCATTAATATTTATTTTAAAAATTAATAATTTAACTGGTGAATTAAAATTGTAATTTATATAAGGAAGACTTGTATATTATAAAAAATTTTGTCACAAGGAAGAAAGGGTTTTAGTAGCATAATGAACTATTCTCAGCCAAAGCACAGATTTAAGAGATGCTTATTAATAATTGCTACTAAAATTACAAAGATGCTCCAGAATAGAATACATTTCTCCATGTTGTTCCTTTCATGTTAAAATAACATGCTTATGGATTTATTTAGAATCTAGCGTAGACAGTTCGTGAGAGCCAGTTATAATAGGAACTTACCTTCTGGTCGCAGCTGACCCGGTTCGTTTCCCAAAGGGGGCAGGGTGAAGTATATGAATATAGCGACGAGCATGAGGAATGTACCCATGACTACAAACGGCAGGATGTAGCCGCCAAGCTAGGGAAACAGAGAGCAGACGTTTGGTTCGACAAGAGTCAGCCACTGCAAGTCATAGCAGACCCATTCTCTTCAAGATACTTTTTAATGCAAACATGGTGGGAAACAAATTCCCTGCTCGTCCAGTCTGTGGGTATTTGAATTACTATTTGAGCAGTCTTGACTCGTGATAGATGTTACTTCCTAGCACCACTAGTAGACGCAGATGAACATATTTTATACTTACCGAAAACAGGATTCCACCAATCATAGGCCCGACAATGTAGCCCAGGCCATAGAAGACTTCGAGGGCTGCCTGTAGGGAAGAGTGCGACTCATGAGTTTTGTTAAACTCTTCTCCCATCGCCACTTCTAATCAGCTTTGTTGGCATAACTTAAGGCCATTTACATTCTCAAATGCAGATTCATTGTTAACACAGTCTTCAGTTAGGAACTCTATTCCGTGATTGGCTAAGAATTACTACAGTGATAAGATATAGGAGGATGAGATGGATGCAGAATGTGGTTTGCGTGGGGCGGAGGGACACACAATTTAAATTGGAAAGCCTGACAAAGGCATAAATGGGAGAATAATGTTCAAATTTATCTTGAGGAAATAGGGTTTGGTGTGTGGATTGGATCCATGTAACTCGGGTGGCTTCTTGTGAGGATAGTAATGGAATCTCCAGGTTTCATAAAGGACGGGACATTTCCTGACTAGCAAAATAACTATCAGCTTCTCAAAAAGGACTCTGCTCCATGGAGTTATTGCTGCAGACGTCATGCAAAGAGGGATTGAGATGTAGACAGGAGAATAGTGGGAAGTTGTGGTTGGGGATCAACTTTGAAGACGTGAACTGCATTAGTGAGTGCCTGCATCATCACGGCATATCTACCCCGATGATGGAGGCAGTCAGTGTCTGAAACGTTGAGGGGAAGGCTTCAAAAATTGCATGTCTAGGCAAAGTGAACCATCGCTGACAGAGTGTGAAGTGACTCACGAATGTAGTGGCGACGGAATCGGGAAACACGGATGCTGTGATTGCAAAGGCCGCAGTGGTGGCTGCTGAGGCCCCTAGAGCCTCGACGATGCGGATGGTAAACGACAGAGCGATGAAGTCCACGTGCTTTGGGACCAGGTCCAGCAGCCTGGAACAGAAATGGGCGTTGCGTAAAGTGAGATCATACGAAGAAGACAAATCACGTGGTGCCACGCGATGAACGTCCTGAAACTGAGAGACGCGAAGCCCGAAGAGCATTTCTGTTGCCGTTTTGTGTTGTACTGTGCAGAAAGCCGTAAGTCAACATAAAATCGAGTTCTGCTCAGTCCTTATGTTTGTCGCGTCTATTCGTTTGCGAGAAATTAGTTTTCCAAGCATGCATCATGACAGCTGCTGCTGGCGTCTTGGATGGCAGTGGTTTGGCTACTAGATGCCTCGTGTTTACAGTTTATTAAAATGGACCAGCTCGTTTACAAGTTTTTGAGTCAGTGATTCAGCTGCTGAGGTTGTACAGAGCAGAATGAGTTAATAACGCGATTGATATTGGGTAAGGATTTCGAAGGACGCGGTCGTGGCACTTGTTTTCAGACACCGCCCCAAAATACGGAAATCTTCTGTTAAATGTGTGGTATCCCGGTCGAGATTCGAACTAGATTTCTCCCGAACGTTACGGCTAAAACGTATTGGAATTATTATGTAGGGGATAAACATGTGTTCACTCTTCGTAAAGTCACTGAATATCTCGCAGGTCAACAGGCTTTGTCTAAAAGAACTTTGGCCCTCAGCTCGTCCGCCGTGCGTTCATGTAGGAGTGAAAAGTTAGTAGTCGTTACGCATTTCTTACGGACGTTTTAAATGTTTCACATTTGGTGGTCTGAAATGTTTGCTTGCATGCACTGGGTATACTAAATATACGTAAATTAAATGTATTGGGTGTCTTCGTAAAACCAAGTTTCTTACCCGAAGAGAATAGAACATGTTGACGCGATGAAAATTCCAGAGTTCAGCATAAACTTTGGCCCAATGTAGCTCAGCTGCAAAGAAACCAAATTAGTTTCAAACTGCTGTTCACATTTAATCCTTTAAAGCACAATGATCTACATATACCACCTGTTTTAACGTCCAATAACTTCACTTTGCCTCATGATTGTGGCTGTAAAAACAGCGAATATTTATTCAAAGAGTATTTTCCAATCGATCTCTGCAATGGTGAAGAGTTGTGTTTCCTTTGCGGTACGGACTGAACTATTAAATACTGTCTAGACGAACCCAGCTTAAATTGGCTGAGAACTTTGCTCTAAATTCTGTATATGGATTTCTATTTTAGATTGTTTCGGGCTCTTACAAATTAATAAACGAGGTTAAGAATATGTGCAGCGTATTCAATATAATTTAATTGGCTCACGCAAAATTTATTCTTTGAAAATAATTCTTTATGCGGAGAAAGTGCACTAGTTCATAACACAAAATATGAATTTCATTAGTGGTTACAAAATTATTGTGAAACATTTTTCCTTCTAAAAATGTGTGTTGCAGAATTGTATTTGTTATCATTGAACATTTAAAAATCAAGACACCTCGTGATATGACCGGGAATGTTGTCAGACGTGAGCCAAAGTTAATGTTAATGAAGAATCTGTGAAAATTTAATTTTCGTATTTCGAGCCTTTTTCAGAAAGTCGATAAAATTTTCTGAAAATTGAAGATAAAATTCGGACTATCACTTGTACGAAATTTTATATCGAAATGCGTTACTTGGCCTGGAAGATACAAGTGCGAGGCAGTAAGAGTCTGCTTAATGAAAAGATCTGTTGTCGAGCTAATTACTTTCCTTCGGCCAAGGACCTCTGAGGTCCTTTGCGAACTGTTAACGAGTCAGATCAAAAAAGTAACGAGATACTCTTGAAAGAACTTTGACAAGCACTTTCATGTTCGGCCAAAATTTGTGTAAATATACACTTTCGCAGACAATATCGTAGTGTGGCAGCACTGCCAGTTTCTTAATTCTAACATAATATTTTCGTAGTTCGTTAATGATCTGTCATCGGAGCCTCGTGCTTCAGCTGGCGTTTAGCCGTGACCGTCGCGTGCTAAAACAGCGTGACACGCTTTTCCGTGGCGCTGGGGTCACGCCCATCTCAGAAGTTCAAGACGATACAAAATTTGATGAAAATCCGTGAACTTGTTTGGTGACACAAGCATATTTTTTGCTCATGAATAATTAAAACTGGCCACAGATGCTCCGAATAAATTCCAAGGTCATCTGCCGAGAGTAAATGAAGTTCGAATTTGTTATCAGCGAGCACATTAAAACTGAACCCGAACTGTTCATGTCATTCGACACGTCGTAACTTTTCAGAGAGTTCAAAAACCGCTGGTCATTGACACTGCGACTTGGTGTGACTTACGTATTTCCCCAGAATTGGGCTGCTGAGGAAGGAGACCAGTTCGAATATTCCAAACACAAGGCCGTACTCGCTGGCCGACACCCCCTTGCGTTCAGCCTGAAACAGAAACAACGCGCGTCATGCGAAGGAAGCTATCGGAAAGGAGTCGGTTTCTGGGTTATCCCTAGCAAATTGACGGCAACAGGAAAGGCAAGTACCCACCCCTTCTGATTCCCTCCGACCTTTTGATGGCGTGTTCTAGAGCAAAATTAAAAAAAAAATCATTGGAGATAAAGCATCCCCCTATTTCAGTCCATTGTGCACTGGGAATGGATCCGACAGAACTCTACCAGATACCCCATCCATACACATCTTAATTAACCTAACAAGTTTCTTTGGTATTCGAAACTCAATCAAAATGCCACAGAGCACCTCCTCGAAGTCCACAAGTAGTTGGTGTACTCCCAATTTTTCTCTAATGTCAGTCGAATGCGAAAGTCGATTTATTACAGCGGAATTCACATTGATCGTCCCCGACAGCTTCGTTCATAAATGGCGTTCACCGTGTCACGAGAATATTCGATAAAATGTCCCCTGTTTTATGGACAGGGACAAAACTCGATTCTTTCCGCTGTTGTGGCAGACTTTAAGCTACAAGCTGTCTCCTACCGCCTGCATGAATTGAGTCGGTGCCCGGAGATTTATAACAACGTCTTAATTTCCCAAGGGCAATCTCAGCTTCATTAAGGCTCGGTTGGAACGGACAGACGGACATCGCGTCGCAAGAATTTGTACTGACGGGCATCAAGAAAGTTTCTTCTTCTGTTCTTGCGTCAAGGCTTAAAATGTGCAAAGTGGTTGCTGCCACTTACCTCGGCGGGGTAGAAGGGCGCCTGCAGGGAGATGCAGATGGCGCATCCGAAGTGTACGCTGCCGATGACAGACAGCACGACCCACTGGTCCCTGGTAAAGCGCCCGGTCGTCCGTTTGACAGTCATCGTGTGCGGCTGCAGGAGCCTCGTCTGCCGGCTTCCTATATACTGCTGCAGGTGTCCACGTGCCTTGAGCTTATGTGGCCCGCCAGGCGCCGTCACTAGACTGGCACATGTTAAGGGGCAGAAGGATGTTTCATGAGATTCGAAGCCTTCGTGGCTGCGGGATCCACTGAAACCTTGGCAACTGCTTGCAACTCGAAAGACCACAGACAGTTATTTGAACAGCAAGAAAATATTTTGCGTCGCTTAGTTGCCGCTGTTTTGAAATTCCTTTAAGAGAGCTTTTCTGAAGTGCAAACAATTAACGAAGTTGTTTCATAAGTGCCGTCGCACTTGTTAACGGAAACCGGTTATGCTTGAATCGGTCAAAGCGGTCGGAACGTGAAGCTGACCGCTCCCCTGTCTTTCGTGACAACGTCGAGGAACGCACGGGGTTAAAACCGGAGACTCTGAGAACACGAACACTCTTATCAGTTGTGATAAGCCCACAGGGAATTTCAAAGGCTATGATATTGTGCAGTGAGAGATTTTTGGGCACCCCTTTCCGCGGGCCACATGCCAACTCTGTTTGTTTCTTGGGGTCCCGACCTCTGACAGTTCATTTGCTTCAGAAAATTACAGCGTCCACACGCCCGAAATAAAGTTAATCCAATGCCGCGTCTGACAAGAGTAACAGACGCATTGAAGATTTCCGTCTTCTGGGTTGTTGCGCTGTGTAGTCTGGCAGATGCTATTCATCACCCTGATGACGGAGGCAGTATGACCTCCGAAACGTTGGTAAACATCTACCAGACAACATAGCGCAACAACCCAGAAGACAGAAATCTTCATATTTTTAATCGCCCTGATGATGGAGGCAGGATGACCTCCGAAACGTTGGTAAACATCTACCAGACAACATAGCGCAACAACCCAGAAGACCGAAATCTTCATACTCATCGCTGTGAAAACCTCAAATCTTACAACAGACGCATTATTTATTTATATATCATTCGTAAGTATTTGGACCGGTGTATCGAGATTAATCCGAAGTGTAATTAGGATAGGAAATAAATTAGCAGCTGTCTTTATAACACGTAATGCAGCACAGATATTGGCCTTGAAGTTATTTATTTTTATTAACTTTTATTGAGAGTTCATTTGGAAGACCTAGGCATAGATGGAAGGATAATATTTAAACGGATCATAATGACATGGATTGTAAGAATAAGATCCAGTATTGGGCTCTTGTTCATTATAGCTCCGAGTCCGTTCCTTGTTTTGGAGGTGGGAATAAGTGAAAATTGTGTCGACGAGCAGCTGATGTGACGTCCGGCGTCGCACGCACGAAGAAACTCGTGAATAAACAGCCCGAATTTAATTAAATGTAATGCCGAACTGTTGAAGTTTCAGAAATTTTAACAAACGCGCACGATCGTTCTATTGTTTTTTGGTTTCGTTTCATATGCAATAAAATCTTCTGGGGCGACTGTGACGTCACATTCACTGATGATTACGGAGACAGTGGCTTCGACGCGGCTCGTCGCCCGAAAAAGATTTTATTCAAGTCGGATATTATTATTTCGGATACTCGGAAAAGAAGGCGCATTTATGGATTTGTGGTCACTTCCATAAACACTCACTACAGTACCAAATTCCGACTGATAACAATTCGTATTTGCCCAGTTCCTCGTTTGCATACACCTCAATTATGCGATCACGTGGCAGCTGATTACCTGCCAGATGTTACAAGAATCACGTGCCTTAAAGCCGTCTTGCCGGCCGTTGCCTCAGGAGGGGATACGCACAGAAACGATAAGTGTTACGTCATATTGACCCCAGGACCTCGGAAGAAACCGATCTGTCGTATTTACATTGCAGATTGCAGGCTGAAGGACTAGTTTCGTCACCAGGAAGCCGCTGTGCATTGCATGTGCTTGATAAAGCCCCAGTCCGACTTTGGTTCGTCCACGGAATATTTTAGATGTTTGTCTTCCGACTCACGGGCGTCTTAACCGAACACTAGAAGAAAACTGAGTCGAAGTCAGCGGAAATTTGAAAATATTAAGGCACGAGTCCTGTACACCTGTTTAAGCGCTGTTAAAGTCGCGCCCTTGTTCAGTGGAGGAGAGACCTTTCGACGTTTCATAAGCTGATGCTCATCTGAAACGTCGGCCAGTATCTACCAGATTATTGTCACCGTCGTGTTCGCAATAGTTCGTCCCTGACACCCGTCTTGGAGGCAACCCACGGCCTAACCTATCGTAGCTGTAAAATTCGGAAGGAGCTGAGAATGAACAGTGAAAATTAAGACTTTGTTAAAGTATTTGGCGGCACATTTTAATAATATTTCAGAGGCTCAAACGAGGGAACTGTCTGCAGCGAGCGTGTTCATATTTGGTCTTACACATTGCAGTGATAAAGTAAGTTCCTGACAGGTTAAACTTACCAGAGCGCAGATCGCAGACTGTGGAGACGCGGAGCAGAGACGACCTATCCCAGTGGAGTTCCGAGCGATGTCTAACGGAGGCTTTTGGTGCGCGTCTGATATAAATGTCGAGGTGATGGACGTCATTCTGGTCCACGAAAGACGTCTCTATAATTTGTACATCTTCTGAGTTATCTGTGTTTGCTGAGCGACTATCAGCCTGAAGGACTCTGCTCCATGTTATTCGTTTGTAGAAGGAAATGGGGAAATCAGGAAGAAGGAGAAGAAGAATACTGTTATGATGACGATGGGACAGTCCTTTGTGCCGAAACTTTCCCCAACAGATGCTCTGGACAGGACGTTCTTTGTATCCCTCCCCTTAAAAGAAAGGCCCAGCCTCCCTGATTTATCTGTTCTATAAATGGATTTCCCCATGCGTACTGCATGTTCCACCCATCTCCCAGTCCACTCTACAACGCTTCTCTGTTATGCATCCAGTTCGTATTCTGAAGCCACGGGTTCGATCGCTTCCGTCAAGAAATCTCGTTCTGCGGTTGATACAGCGTTGTCAGATGACCTCTGACTCAGTGCTGACGTCATGCCGGTCGTTTACACTTCTGCGACGAACGTCATGCTTAGGGGTGAATAAAGTACCGCTCGCCGCCAAGTTCAGATATTAGGAAAATTAAGTTTTTCATGCATTTAGGGATCTGAAGTTTTCACGGCGGTCCTCTTGAGTTGTTGGCAGATTACACGTCTTCAGGGATAGAATTGTTATAAATCTGCGTTTGAAGTGTACACAATCAGTAGTAATTTGATGAAATACATGGCCTAGTTACATTGCCACATTGGGAAGTTGGAGAGCGTGATTTTGATGAAGTGAAGACATCGAAGTAAACACACGCGTGTGGCTGATGAGACGTCTGGAAAAGAAGGCGGCAAAAATGTTTATGACGACAGTAATTGCAGTAAACTAGTCTTCACAGTGTTCATGAACCTTTTTTTTCAGAATTGTCACCACCTGTAGATTAAGATCGGGGAGTGATGTGGTTGGTTGGAACCAAGTATAGAAAATATTGGTTTGACTTATTTGGCTGGATTCTTTTTCGACTCAAGTGCTTTGAACACGTGGTTTTGGTTAAAGATTGTTCACCTGGAGTTGGTATGATGTCTGTTTGGACCACCTTTGCTGCTCCCTCATAAATATATTTTTGCATAACCCCCTCCTCCTCTCCTCTAAGGCTCCCATATCCACCCACTGCGACCCTCTGTAATTTTTTTAGAGGGCAGAAATCAGTACAAAACCAAACCCGTTTCTGCCCTCGTCTAATTTCTACAACTTAATACTACTGTAAGTATCCCCGGGTCTCGAACTGCCTGCCGACGTCGTCCTCCGCAGTCTCGTACGTTGCTCTTCGGCTACGAGGCGTGGGCGTGTGGTGTATTCTGATTCTGGTTCGATCACTTATGCCCTTCTCCCGCTCAATACGTAGTTTATTGGGTTCGCTACTAGAATTCGCTGTGGTCAAGTTTGCAGATAGAGAAAGCAAGTCCGAAGTTGGTTAGATTTGTTGCGTGAATCTAGTCTTTGAAGCCTTCGAGGTGTATGACTGGCCGTATGTAGTTTATGTGTAGCGAGTTGTTAGTGTTTCGCCTTGGGAGATGTTTGCGTGCTAAATGTATTTGAGTTCATAATGGCAAATATTCAGTCTTAAAATGCCATAATGCAAGAATCATTGCCGTATGTTTCTGTGTGCGAAAAGTGATCTGATATTGGTGGGCTGTTATTAGGTTACGGAATAAGAGACTGGAAATTATGGGGTGTTCTCATTTGTAGGTTGAGGTTATGTGTCGATGATTGTCGAGGAATGATTAAATGAACGCCACGAGGCATTGATAAGTGACATTTATATACTGAGAAGTGTTTATTATTTGCGGGTTTGGTGCCTTGTACAGTTACTTGAAGAATTTCAATATGTTCGCCTTGGAACGTGAATTATGCTTGTTTAGCAATGCTGGATGTGTGGTGTGCCCCGAGAACAAAAGTACATATTCAATCAACAGCGTCATAAGAATGCTGTTTGGGTGGGGAAACTTGATAGTTAAAAGTGAATGCATTTTGTCTTTCTGGGAATAGCTGAGAGAAGAAGCTTAATTGATCCTTGGGATTGTACTGAGTGGAAAGCTGTCTGTCACCTGACCAGCCT